TGTGTGTGTTGTGTGTGTGTGTGTGTGTGTGTGTGTTTTGTGTGTGTGCTGTCTCTTATACACATCTAGATGTGTATAAGAGACAAGAGAGAGAGAGAGAGAGAGAGTATGCTTCACACAAACAGAATGCCACACGAAGGGTGTCAGCAATACAGTAAATTTTGATCTGATGGAACTCAATTACGAAAACATGCTATCTATTCGAACGTAGAATGTGGTATATTCAAACTGGCTTTCTCACTCGAGTAAAATGGTGTACGGGAAACTCAAGTACTATGCGTGTTGTGTTTGGGAGAAGATGGTAGTTTTGGGAGAAGATGGTAGTTTCGTACGGGTTTGACATGTTGGACAACCTAGACTTGAAAATTCACTCTCAACTGGGCTATGAGGTGACAATTTGGACTCCAGTTTCATGCATGGGCCTCAGTCGTAACTGTCTTTGAGGGCATGGAACCAGGTTTGCTGCAGAGTCAGAACTATGTTATTCTTTGCTGTGAAGAGAGAGCAGTTATGAGCATTCGCTGCACACAAATTGCATAACCTGTGCTGCAGCTTTCCTCTTTTCTGATAGTCGTTTCCTGCTCAGGACTTGAGGTCACTTGCGCCAGGCTCCCTTCCTGTGTTCATTGCACTACCTGTAAACTGGACACTCCCTATTTGCTTTTACACTCACACTTGATCCTTTGCTTTCATTGAAACTCAGCATGCAGTCACTCTGTAACTGAGAGAAGGTCTCAGTTTTGTGTGCATCAGTACTGTGGCTATCCACAAAGTCGTCGACTGGTGAACCCACACATACACAAGAGGCCTCTTGTACGGAGACGTTCCCCATCTCCACTGACGCCTCCTAGACGGCGGCCTCATTTGTGCATGAACAGCATGATCACCGCCCCTCTGGTGCCTCTGGTGGGGGTCAGAGATCTACTCCGACGCCGTACTCACAACCATACGGAACGATGCCGTCGCTCCCAAAACACACGAGCCAGGAATAGTACGTACTGAGTTCAGTGTCCACAGTGTGGCGATGGTTTTTGCAGTGCTGCAGGCCTATGTATCCCCAGTGGCCGTGGTCACCGCGGGCATGACCATGGCCCGCGGTCGGGGAAGGCCCGCTGCGGGTAGGGGGGGAGGGGTGACCAAAGTTGGGGTCGGGATTCTGGGGGCGCGACCCGGGCCCCACCCACCCATAAAGAAAAAAATTGAAAAACTT